TAACCGAGACTAATAGCTTACATTTCTTAATGAGCTAATATATAACTACACTTTTTTAAAGGTTTTACGTGATCATAGTATCTTATTTCAGAAATTTGGGCGCGAGCATGTTTGATATTTATTTCAAGTTTGTAAAATTATACGCAAAAATTATCACTTGTTTTTCTTTTAACTTCAGAAAGTCAAGACTGCCTCACATTTAATAACGTATAATTAAAACCCTTTACAGTTAAACTACCGAATACGTAGCAGCTATTCATATAACTTAATTATAAAACACCATTGGTAGAGAGTATGAGAAACAAAACTGGCCAAACGTTAGTAGTTTGTTTGAAGATAAGCATAAAGCTACACAATGGGTTATCTGTTATCTGATCACCACGGGTATTTAGACCCAGTTTCTAGTGTTGTAAGTCCTCAGGCCACCCGCTGTGCCACCCAAACGTTCATAAGAATTGAAATATTTTAATTTTTTTTGTGTTCGATGAGTTCGTTCTTTATCATTTGTGCTTTCACTTAAGAGATTTTGTTCCAAAGTTTCACGTTTTAAATCCAGTAAAAATAGCAAATCATTATATGAAAATGTGGTAGTGAGGTGGATTTTAAGATAGCGTCCTCTTCGAAACGTCATATAACAAAAGCATATTTTAAGGAATAAAGATGTTACGCAGTTTAATCTGTCGTTTGACATTTTTAGCAAATCTTTTTTCTTATTTTTATTTCTCTCTCTTGTAATATGGAGTGTTATATCCCTATTGGCAGCTTACAAAAGGATACAGCGGCATCTATTAATGATATTGTTAACTATATAATTTTGAGATCGACTTAAAGAAAGAAAAATTATGCAAAACAACAGAGAAACAAGTTAAACCAGAAACCTAAACTGACGTGCTCAAAACCGAAAAAAAACAAAATTAGTGGACAATGATGGACGCCCTAGTCACCTGAGGGTGCGGAATGATTTAAAGTTAAAAAAGTAAAAGTAAAAAATGCTAGAATTATGTATTGTCCAAAACATTTAGATTAATTAATTACTAAACCGGTATGTTTAATATATGCCCGAGTTTTATCAGAAACCAAATGGAGTTTATTGGACCTAACAAAAATAACAAAATTCAAGTTTAATTGCAGGTGTATTTTGTAATATTTCTCTTGCATACTTCAGAAGGACAAGAATGAGAAATATATGAGAAAAATACATATATATATATAAAGAATAGACACGTTTATAGATGAAGAGATAGCTACATAAAGCGATATGGATAACTTCATAACAATAGTCTTGGAATTTGTGTAAACTTTTTTATAATTTGTTTGTTTGTTTTGAATTTCGCGCAAAGCTCCACGAGGGCTATATTGCAGCTTGCCGTCCCTAGTTTAGCAGTGAAACACTAGAGGAAATGTAGCTAGTCATCACCACCCACTACCAACGAATAGTGAGATTGACCGTCACATTATAACGCCCCCACGGCTGAGAGGGCAAACGTGTTTGGTGGGATGGGGATTCGAACCCGCGACAGATACACACACACACATATATATATATATACACACATGCAAGTCGCATATGAAATACTTTACAAAAATGATTTTATAAAGGTCACAGGTTTACGTTTTTATACACACTCGTCGGAGGTTTAAATAAATATGGTCGTTTTGATGCACAAATACTTGTTTTTAAGTAAAGAAAAGTCCTAAGTTTCAATACGTTTTCAGTTTATAGATTTCAAATTAAATCTTTGATGTCATGCATTTTGGAAGGCTGCCAATAATGGTAACCTTTATCTCTGATAATTTTGAAATTATGGCCTTTAGTAATAAAAGCTTCTTTTCATTCACTATTTACTGTTTTAGATCTGCCAAGAAGTTTAACGAAAATTGAAAAAGGAGGTAGCATCCAGTGTTCCTTATGAAGTTTGCATTACAAATGTTGCACAATAAGTCACAGATGTTGTTCTTGTTTCAGTGCAAATCTGTACAATGAGCTATCTGCGCTCTGTCGACCGAGGGGAATCAAAACCTAGATTTTAGCATTGTAAGTTCGTAAACTTACCGTTGACCAACCAGAGGACAAATTACGGATGACATAACACATGGCCTAGTTGGTTTGTTTGTTTGTTGAATTTCGCGCAAAGCTACTCGAGGGTTGGCTGCGCTTTAATTCAGATAAACTAGATAGAGGAAAGACAACTAATCAAGATCACCCCACCATCAACTCTTGGGCTACTCTTTACCAAGTAATAGTAGGATTGACCTTCACAATATAATACTCATACGGTCGAATGGTCAAGCATATTCAGTGATGGGATTCGAATATCATTTGTGTGAAGATTTCTTTTAAATCATTAACATCAGACTCGCGGCTATTCAAAAATCACAAATGTCAGGATTATGATGTCAGTATCCCTGACAGAATTATATATATGTATATATGGCTCTTTTCTTTATCACTCCCTTTTACCTATCAATTAGTTCCTCTGACCTACTTTTCCCTACATAATTAGTCGTAATTTGCACTACAAAGACTGCATCACTTCTGGCATCCTTCATTATAATTTATATTATACATGCTCTGTCAGTTACATCCTCCAACCCTGTACCTAGACAGCACAGTCTAATTCTTCTCTTAGCCCTCCAGTGGCACAGCGGTATGTCTGCGGACTTACAACGCTAGAATACAGGTTTCGATACCCGTGGTGGGCAGAGCACAGATAGCCCATTGTGTAGCTTTGTGCTTAATTACAAACAAACAAACAAACTAATTCTTCGCCATATTTTAATATTTACCCTACGTGCTGTACAAAAGGATCACCTAAAACTATGTGGCCCGGCATGGTCAGGTGGTTAGGGCACTCGACTCGCAATTTGCGGGTCGCGGGTTCGAATCCCCGTCACACCAAAACATGCTCACGCGGTGTCCGGACTAGGACCCTAGTCCTACTCCCGGATACTCATCTACCAAAAAAAAAAAAAAATTTGGAGGTGTGAGAAACACATTACGAAACTACTACCTAAAACTATAACCTCCTATGTTTTCACCCCCACCCCTTTTGTTTTCTTTCCTTCCTCTAGTTCTTCATCTGCACAAGCTAAAGGCCGAACTTTTTTCATTATAATATATCCACTACATCTAACCCTATTAGTACTACTTCTTACTCCTTGAAACTCATTATATTAACCACTGTATAGTTTACAAATTCCTCTTGAAGTCCTGCTGACATTTCATACAGTTTATTTTTCTCTTTATCTGTAACTTCTAATGTATGTAGGATAACCTCAAATGTCTCCTCCAATCTGCAAGTTTCACATATTCACAACTAGCTTCTTTTAAGCTAAGACTGCATTGCCAGTACGGAATTCCCATATAAAACCCGCTCCTTCCACCTATCTCATTTTACAAACTGTAAGCACTTCACACCTACGATACTGTTAAGAATTGTAGCATGGAAAGAAATAATCAACTCCAAACTACAAATAGCCTACTGACAATACAATTAAGCCTAATACATTATACTACTAGTTGGAGTACCAAACTACAAATAGCCTACTGACAATACAATTAAGCCTAATATATTATACTACTAGTTGGAGTACCAAACTACAAATAGCCTACTGACAATACAATTAAGCCTAATATATTATACTACTAGTTGGAGTACCCTTCCCCTGAACGGAACTTATGTAAATTCATGATTAATGAAGGTTATATTAGGACAGTAAAAGTTGCTTCTCTTGTCAAAATGTAATTGTCAAAAATGTCCATAAAAACTGCAGAATGCAAAACTGAAAATTTGTGTGTACCCACGCATAGGCCTAATGAAGATCCATTCACACCCTGCGAAGTAGTTACATAGACATGCAACATACAATACTATTAATATTATATCTATATAGATTTACCATTATATTATCTTCTCATTAAACATTTTAAGGAAATTAAATTTATCTTTCAACTAAGAAGTTACAACTAACTATCCTGTAAATGATATATACGTATAATAGTACAATGTAAAATGCATGTTTTATAACTTGCCAATGAGCTAAATTACACTTGTTAAGCCTAATATAATGTTTGTAATACTTACACTACAAAGTTGTACAGAGTAATTTAATATTTTAATACAAATATTATTTACTAATCTTGTAGTTATAATATCAACTTATCCGTTTAGTAATTAATACAAACTATTACAAAGAGAAATGTTAATCATGTCCTTAAACATATATAAATAGGATATTCCAAAAACTTCAACATCTTTCCTCATAATAATGAGAGCTTTCTACTTTTGTTTTGTTATGACTTATCTTAGGTTATGGTTTTGTTTACTATTCCTTCGATCATTTAACTCATCTGCGAGATCGTATTATGATACTAATACAACCTTCCCCTAGCGGTGACATACAGATATTAATGCTGTGAAAGATTACGTAAATTAGCCAGTGAAATGAGATGTAACTTTATGGTTTAATCACTAAATAAATAACCTTCCTTGATCTTAAACGAGCAAGTTCACGATATATAGTTAGAGCGAATTATTGCTGGTTGTTGTTCGATATTGTTATTGATTTTGAGAAGTAGTTTAATTTGGAATATGTATTTTTTTTTCAGAATTACATTCTTCTTCTTGTTCCTTTGCCTAATACCTTTATTTATTCAAATTCATAACATTTATATCTATAATGTATTGTTTATTGACGTTTATATTAGGTTTTGGCCAGGCTCGCATTTACTTACTGTGTTTTGTTTTGTTCGAACGATTTATTTTGAATTTCTGTTATTGTTACAGTTTAATACATTGTTTTTGTTCGTGATCTGGTTGTAGTGGCGTTTTGTTTCAGTCCGTTAGAACTTTTGAAACATCTTCGCTCTAACAATATAAAATATATCAATCTTACTTTAGGCAATATTTTCCACAAACACTCACACAAATTATATTAGCTCAAGAAATACATAAATATTTTGTCACCATGTGGCAGCAGTGTATATGACCAACTAGAAGCGTGCGTTAACCAAAGATATTACTATCTAACGTTAGGCCTAACTTTTGATATATGCAAGGTAAAAAAGAAAGTTAGTTACAAAGCTAAAATTTGTGAAAATGAATAGTGGTATAAGTAAATTATTCGGTTTTCCACGAAGTTCTTTCTATTTAACAATTATCAATCGACCATTACGGCAAAACAAGTGAGTCTTAGTTCATTTTTATATTGTACTTGTTGTAGGGTGTAATTCACCGTAAATAGTAAATTACTACTAGTAGTAGTGGTATTTAAATAATTTAGTATTATTAGTACTACGAGTACTGTTGTTATTATTATTAATGTCATTGTAATTCGTAATTACGAGTAGTAATATATTGCTATTTATAATACTACTATTATTACTACTACTAGGCTAGTCAGTGAGTAATAAATAAATAAACTCGGTTTTCTGAAAATTGTTTAATCTCAAAGTCTAAGTTCAAAGGAAGTCCAGTTCAATCTACACTTTGATCATCGGTGTTATTGGGTTATACTAGTTTCAGAGAATTCCACTCCTCATCAGTAACCATAAACACTAGTTAACCAAAGAGAGATAAGCTGGCCCTATATCATACTGTAGTGAAAAGTATCAAACATATTGTTGGTGTGAACGTGCTTTGTATTCACACCATGTTCACACTAACAGTATGTTTAGTCAGTGAGTATTCAGCTTTCAAGAAAAGTGACTAAGTAAGTACTTGCTCAACTTCTGCTAGTACTAGAAATAGTAATAGTATAAATTTTCAAACAACCATTTATAAGGATAATAAAGTGATTTATTTTGGGGGAATGTGTTTCATAAGAATATCGGCTTCTCCTGAAGAAGATACCTTTCAGCCTTACATGGATTCTTAATTTTAATTTTACAGCTTTATTTTGTTTAGCTTTGATGCAATTTTTTGAATGTTTGTTATGATTTCAAATGTTGGTAAGGGATTAGAAGTAACGACAAAGTTAAGGCCGTATTTTAACAGAGAAATATGATTACTACTAAGCCTTAATTGGAAAAATTAATAAAATTAGATATTGTGTCATTGTTAAAGGTAGATTATGTATGTTCACAGTAAGTGGAACAAATTCTCATGAGTCTTGATATTGAAAAAAACTAGTTTCCATACATCCATGTACCTTTCCAGTCTCGTGTTATCTTCAGATGGTAACATGAGACTAAAGAGGAGTAATTTCTTGAGTATCAAGATTCCGTACATTTATTGAAACTTTTCTTTTGTGAACGATTAGTCTCTCAAATTTGTTTTATATGTTGTTTTCTGATATTTTCTCATATTGTCAAAATGGTAAATTTAATATTTTTATCATCTCCCATTTATTTGATTCATTTGTTTCACGGAACATGATATGATGCCATAATGAACTGAATTAAGATTATTATTCTATTTGAAAACCCTGTACAATTTACTCTAAAAGGCCACTCAAACCATTTGAGAGCAGTATAGAAAGTCTGTTGTTCAACTAACCCATTGTGTTGATTCTCTTCTATCAAACTTTGAGCTGATAAATAAGTTGATCATATATTTGTGTTTTTGTTTACCCTATTAAACATTTACTTCATTCATTGTAAACATTTTCTTGTTTTTTATAAAACTTACAGTATGTATCATGACTTTAAAGCCATTAATACCCCGTTCTATACTTGTTGCTTCATCTTCATTGATATTCCATGTTGTAAATATATTTTTATGTAATATCATTTAACTTTAAAATTTAACACTGGTAAATAACATTCTTTTTTTTTTAATTTGCTGTCATGTTAACACGTTTGCTGCCACATAATAAATTAAGTATAAAAAAATTAAATATTCAAGAGGTATCAAGGAGCAGTCACAATGTCCCAAGCTCATTTCAGAAGAGATATTTGACTTTGAAACATAAATGTTTGTGACCCACTGGTGTGTCATGTGGTTCATAACTAACAGTCGGTTGTCACCCACCAGTGGGGTACATGGCAGTGAATGTGTTAAATCCAGTAATATGTTTTAAAACAATATTTTAGACTAGTTGGTTTTATCATCAGTGTATGGATATCCATTATTGTTAAGTTTACATTACATAACTTTCTGTAATAATTACAGGTGGTGTTTAAGCACCAGTTTTTTGTATGTATAAATTATTACTGGGATTTGAAGGTAGGAAATAAGAAATCTTTTCTGACGAATTACAGTATGAAACAAGCTTTGAAAATACATAAAACAAAATTTGCCACATTGGTAATAAAGGGTATTTTTTAGGCATATTTAATGTTTTTTTTCCAAATAATTATACTGCATGGACCAGTGTAACATAAACCATATATATACTTTTCTCTAAATTTAAACTATCACGTTGTACTTTTTCCTTATTTTCCAGGCAATACGTATCAAGGCTACCTCAAGTCTCATTTTCAGTACATTCATGTAGATACTGTAGTACAGAAGTTTTAAAACACCCAGAGGCTTCTGGTGCTGAAAAAATGTATCCAGTAAAAATACAAAAGATTGTGGAGGATATAGCCCAACTTACTCTTATTGAAGTTGCTGACTTAAATGAACTTCTTAAGGTAAGTTTGATGTGAAAATTAATTTTGAGATATGTAAATTTAACAAACATATGTGCATCTGAAATAAAGTATCCTTATCAGAGTAATTAAGAGAAAAACTTAACAATGGAGGTTGATAAGAAAACTCTATAAAACCATTTTGTACTTTTCATTTCTGTTACACTAACCTTTTTGTTATATATATTTTTGATAAATTTTTTATACATAACAGAGATTTTGAACATAAGATGTATTAATTACAAACTTTTGTAGTTTAAAAGTGAGCTCAAACGTGCGGGAATTTAATTTTTGTTGTTAAGTGCTGGTTGGAAGTAAATTGAATATAATAAATCATGATTATTAACTAATTTCGAAGTTTATTTTTTTTAGGTTGTATTGAAATGTCCTTGTGTGTTCCTATATTACCGTTATTACTTAATAAATCTTTAATCCTTTAAATATGTGTTTCTTTGTGGTTTGAGACTGATATGAAATATTTTAATATGGTTTGATGAATTTCATTTTGCTGTTCCAAATGCATCAGTAACAACACCCTCAAATGAGTAGAAGTATACATGGCCTTTTCTCTACATCAAAATACTCTTATTTGCAAGCTTTCGGCCCTCTTACTGGAGCCTTTATCGAGCAACAATAGTACTGTCGTTGCCCAATGAAGGGTCCGGTAAGAGGGCCGAAAGCTAGCCAATTAAGGTATTTTAATGTAGAGAAAAGTCCGTGTATGTTTCTACATACTTATTTACCTACATTATGAGTATTAAATACCAACACCCTCAAATATTATAAGAACAAGGGATATGTTTTGTAACGTTGGAATTAGAATGAATTTGGTAAAATTTATGTGTGTGTGTGATCATTGAGAATTTCGTAGTCCGTGATTATCTTTTTCACATTTAAGTTATAACTACATTTATGAATTTCACATCAGTATTTGGTTAATTAAATGTTTAATGTAAATATCAGAAATATGAAAAATTCATTCATTCCACTTGAAAAACATGGGTTCAGATTTTTGTGCCAATCCATAAAAATTTGTGAGGATGGGGGCAGAGCCTGGTCTGATGTTGAGTAAATGTCCAATGCAACTGAGCAGAATGTCTCAAATATTATCGATATCAGGTGATGCAACACCCTTAAATCTTGTCATGCAGTAACAAGTTTAAAAACAAAAAATGTCACAAGTTATATGCTATGATGAATGTTTCCACATAATCTTATTTTCCATTTCCTATCCTTGATATGTGTTTTGAAATGAAGTTGATACACTTCAAATTTTTTGCAAATATTTGGCAGTAAAATGCTTTTTATACATATTTAAGTAAAACAATGTTGTGTGGACTGAGTGTCAGTTTTTTCTGTCTTTATAAATAAGTGAACACAGAGTTTATAATGAAGGTACTCGTAGGTCAGAGACTTGTCATTACATTTCTTTTCAGGTTTTTATATCTGTTGAATATATTCAGTTTGTAGCATATGATTCACTTTTGTGTCTTGGAACCAAACGCATATTTACATATTGATGAAAGACTTTGTCAAGCTCTTTGAAGCAGCATGTCCTAACATGTCATGCCTCAGTTTAATAAGCATGATGTCCTAACGTGTCATGCCTCAGTTTAGTAAGCATGATGTCCTAACATGTCATGCCTCAGTTTAATAAGCATGATGTCCTAACGTGTCATGCCTCAGTTTAATAAGCATGATGTCCTAACGTGTCATGCCTCAGTTTAGTAAGCATGATGTCCTAACGTGTCATGCCTCAGTTTAGTAAACATGATGTCCTAACGTGTCATGCATGACATGTTAGGACATCATGCTCACAACAAAACTGAGGCATGACATGTTAGGACACGCTGCTTATTATCTGAGGCATTACACGTTAGGACATGCTGCTTACTAAACTGAGGCCCTCAGTTTTGTTGTGAGCATGATGTCCTAACATGTCATGCTTCAGTTTAGTAAGCAGCATGTCCTAACTTGTTATGCCTCAGTTTAGTAAGCAGCATGTCCTAACGTGTAATGCCTCAGATAATAAGCAGCGTGTCCTAACATGTCATGCATCAGTTTTGTTGTGAGCATGATGTCCTAACATGTCATGCTTCAGTTTAGTAAGCAGCATGTCCTAATGTGTCATGCCTCAGTTTAGTAAACAGCATGTCCTAACGTGTCATGCTTCAGTTTAGTAAGCAGCATGTCCTAACTTGTCATGCCTCAGTTTAGTAAGCAGCATGTCCTAACGTGTAATGCCTCAGATAATAAGCAGCGTGTCCTAACATGTCATGCCTCAGTTTTGTAGTGAGCATGATGTCCTAACGTGTCATGTCTCAGTTTGTAGTGAGCATGTTGCAAAGAATTGGTGGCTTTGAGATTGTGGTTGGTAAAATTGACAGTATTTCTTTTTACTATCCAAAGGAAAGGAACAAAATTCTCATCAGAGACAAAATTTTTTGTTGTACTCTAAGTTTGTAAATCAAAAATGAATTTGAAATAACAGTTTTATTTGATGTAGTTAGTTTTCGATGTAGTGGCCTGAATAAAAGACAACCAGTGTGGTTTCGAAGCAGGTAGAGGATGCTTTGGCCTGATATATCCACAGTTAGACAGATGCTAGAAAAGAAATACAAGTTAGCACATAATCTGCTTTGTTGACTTCAAATAAGCACATGTCTTTTATGGAAAGAAAGAAGGACTTTGGCCAATACTAATAAGTGGGAAATTAACGGCGAAAACTGTACTACTCGTTCAAAGTTGATGTCAAGATGCGAGGGTATGTGTGAAGATCAGAGGAAGAAAGATAGTCTGGTTTAATGTGAAGATTGATATAAGACAAAAATGTATTCTTTTGCCAGGTATGTTTATAATTGTTCTGGTGGACAAATAAGCCCAGCGAGAAGATGAAAGAGTGGATGACAACGTGATCCAAGGCTGATTGTATGCAGATGATGCAATACTGCTTGCAGAATATATCGCAATGCTATTCACTCTTCTCAGTAGGTTCAGTTGTGAAGCCGAGATATTCGGCTTGAAGTAAACAGGGCTAAGATAAAATGATGGAAGTTATGAAGAATAGGAAAGATGTAGAGGATGGATTGTAACTTGGGAATGAAATGATGGAGAAAGTCGACAGTTTTGTGTATTTGGGAAGTAAAGTTGAAGACGAAATATGTAAGACAGCAGTTGGTACAGTAGCAGGAGTAGTGTTTTCTAACTCGAAGTACTGCGTAAGCGAAAAGACAAATAGCATAGCGTATAATGGTGTATGAATACCGGTGGCACTGTTTGGGACAGAACAGAGGATAGATGGTTTTGATCGTAGGTGCTGAAGATGGATTTCAGGAATAGGTTGTCAACAGAGAATGACAACGGAAGAAATACAAAAAACTACTGGGCACAATAGATTGAATAAACTGGCAGAGGAGTGGTGTTGGTCCTGGACGTAATATGTATGGAGGATGTAGGAACAAAGGTTAGCAAGTATGATGGAGAGATGGCAATTAGATGGAAAGAGACAAGGCCAAAAAATAGGTTGGCACAAGAGAGATGACAAGGATGAGAGGAATGTGATTATATCTAGAGGGCTATACATGGGGCAAAACATGGAGAAGACTAGTCACAGTAGAGAAAGAGATGACAAGGAAGAGAGGAACGTGATTTTATCTAGAGGGCTATACATGGGGCAGAACATAGAGAAGACTAGTCACAGTAGAGAAAGAGATGACAAGGATGAGAGGAATGTGGGTAGATTTAGAGGGCTAGACACAGGGCAAAACATAGAGAAGATTAGTCACAGTAGAGAAAGAGATGACAAGGATGAGAGGAACGTGATTATATCTAGAGGGCTAGACACAGGGCAGAACATAGAGAAGACTAGTGGGTGTTGAGGGTGCAGCACTGAACCGGCAGACATGTATGGCTAACTGGATAGTGCTTTGTGATAGAATAAAATTCATGATTCTGGTTAACTAAATGTACGTAAAGCAGCAAAAAAAAATAAAAATTGTTAGGCTAAATTTTCTAGTGCAAAACTATTTTAAACACTCTAAAACAATTAATAACTGGAGTATAAAAACATATTTATCATTAAAACAACTTCCATAACATAATATTTACGACAATTTTACATTTTTTTTCATACAATAGACATAAATGCAACTTGTGATTCAACTTCTAAACATAGTTCTGTCTGTACCTTAAGCCTAGGAATCTACTATATAATATGTGTGTGTGTGTGTATATACACACACACACACACACACACACACACAGATTCGTATCCTGCCCTATTTTTCTATTATATTAAAGCTTGCAAGTCAGTAAATTTGCATAAGAGAGAGTGTCAATGAACAGTGAAGATTTTAAGCTTTCACAAGATTGATCTACAAAATGCGTGCTGTTTAATTCCTAAATATATTTGATCCTTCATATATTTATTTTAACTGACTTCACTGTAATGTATAGCGAAAATAAACCATTTTGATTTTAAATTTGTATTCCACGAATGTGCTACTGTATTTAAGTCACAATATACAATTACGTCCCATTCTCTCCTTCCACCCACTGAGAAAATTAGATGAATCTGACAATAAAGTACCAGTTTTACTCTTTCACTGTTGTGCTATAAAGATATGGTACATTCCAATGCTAGGCCACATCTTATGGAATTTTCACTTTATAAAATATCCAAGGTCTTCTCAGGGTCCTCTGAATTGTCTCCCTCCTCAACAAAAATTAAATCTTAAATAATCTTGTTGCTGATTGACTATACGGTGTTTATTAATCATTATGATTCTGCTTACCACTCCCTACAGATGTCTCCACGGTCTACATTTTACAAATTTGTATCCTTCCTTATTTATCCGATACAAATGTAACACTATTACCTCAATTTTAGCGTAAGTTTCAATTGCAAACTGTAATATTAAAACATGGTTTCTTTTTTTCATGTTTAACTTGTAGTTTTTATGCAGTGATATTATTCCTTTTTGTAAAAAGAACAAAACTAAAAGAATTAATTTAGAAAATCCCACCGTGTTAACTACTGGAAATAATTCTAGTTCTCATTGTAATTCCACATGTGTACTTATATTATTTTTCAAGATTGTATTTACCTAATTATAAGTTTTTATTTGCTCTTAAAGTTACCTATAACAGCGGCCATGTTGTGCATACACTTAGAATGTGCTTTCTGTCAAATGCACCTTACGAATTTTTTCTTTATTTCTAGAAAACATTAAATATCCAGGATACTCCTGTTATGGCTATGGGAGCTATGCCAATGGGAGGTGTGGCAACTGCCCCTGCAGAGGTTTGTGACTAATCTGTTTCATAAAGAGATCCATTCCAATTTTTATTGAGGTAATATTTGATTAAAAATACTAAAGCTCAATAGAGAATCGTGATTTTGAAAAACACCACTGGCTTGTAAAAGATGCTGGAGAAAAGCATCTGCTTTAATCTGTCTCCATCTATGCTGATTGTGTCAGTGTTATTTAGTTTTCCTACTTATAGTTTCTACCTGATAAGGTTTTTTAGTGTTTCTCTTTAACTTGTAAATTATACTATAAATCGTACCTGTTGAATTGAGGTAAACAAGTTTTCTTGATGATCTTAGAAAGTAAAATTGAAAGTAACCACTCAGTCATCATTTTGAGTTTGTGTGATAACAGAAGTTGAGGTGCTCGAAAGATTTGCTACCATTCTGATTACTAGCAAGTCACACAAGTTGAATTTCAAATTTGGAGCTATTTTATAAATGATTTTTATGGATGTATCGTGTGTGTGTATTGCCTATTAAAATTCCTAAAATTGAACAACATTTTCACTCCTAAAATTTACCAAATTCACATTAACTTAAAAGGCTTAGAGACACCTGTAATATAACTTCATGCATGCTGAAATGTCGGAGCATTTTTATTGTTAAGGTCCGTGCATTTAGAGAGTTAGTATATAAATGTAAGGAAGATTTCATTAGGCTTAGGAATAATTTTATTAATTTATTTGTGTTCTTTGCATCGATCTTCATCTTGTCGCTGTGTCTACTGTATTTCTGTTATTCTTAAGTAGCGATGTTGTCTGATAACATTTAACAGGTGTTCTTAGATCATTGATATCTAGTTGATTGTTTGCTGGGAAAGGATCTTGATATGTAGAGCCTTTGGGGTTTGTTAATGTGACCAGTGTTAGAAACATCTTCAGCTATCAGATGTTTTCAAATGACAACCTGTTATAGCAGCTTTGGTTCTTGATTTGATGTGAAATTGCTGTCTGTTTCTGTTTTTTTAATAATTTTTGCGTACATGTCTCGTACTTGAAGTTGTGAGAATGAAAACTAAATAGGACTTCAGGTGAACTGGTGATTATCTCGTCGTTTTAGATCTAGTTCGAGGAATAATTACTTCAAAGTAGGTATTTGGTGTAAGTTAATGTAATATATAGAATATGTTAAGTTGTGTAGTTTTTGGAAGAAATTCTTAAAATGGAGGTATTTGGTGTAAGTTAATGTAATATATAGAATATGTTAAGTTGTGTAGTTTTTGGAAGAAATTCTTAAAATGGAGGTATTTGGTGTAAGTTAATGTAATATATAGAATATGTTAAGTTGTGTAGTTTTTGGAAGAAATTCTTAAAATGGATTTAACAAAATTGGCCAGTTTGTTGCATCTATTGATTACATAACACATTTTTATCTGTTTGAGCTGGATGTACTTGTTTTGTTTTACTTCAGGAAGAAGAGGAGGAAGCACCTAAGACGGCCCAAACATCTTTTAAAGTTAAACTAGTGAAATTCAATGATTCTAAGAAAGTTGCTCTGATCAAAGAAATAAAAAACATCTTAGAAGGAATGAATCTTGTGCAGGTAGGTTGTTGATTATGTTAATTTAGTTTGTGCGTCTGTGAATTTGTTAGTCCATGAATACTTTGCACAGTTTTCGAACTAGCAGGGTCAAACTTGGCAGGTGGGGGGGGGGTGTCCTTTTATCTGTTTCATAGCACCCAAACCCTTATTTATTTTGGGAACTAAGAAGTTTAAAATATGCTCAGAATGTCATGTGCAAAAAGTCTATATATTTGTATGTAAGGGAAGGATTGACATTAAGGAACTGCATAAAAGGCAAACTTTACTGCAACTCTATTAAAACAATTTGCAGGTTCAGTGACGAATTCAAATGCTGTAGTTTCCCCAAGATAAATTTGTTAAAACATCTTTTTCTATTAGAAGCTCCCATTCAAACACATGTGGTGGTAAAAATATACAGAGCATTGAAACTTCTGGTCAGAAGAGCTAATGTTTTAATTCCTAGTAATACTGAAACCACATTATCAGTAAAGAGTTGTATTTTTGACATTAATAACTTTTTAAAATTTAAATATTATATCCTCGAAAATCATTGAGTTATGTGCTCATAATTGTGTATTTGCCCCTGACATTAACTATAATACAATACTTTCCAAAAGTTTGGTAAAAGACAACTGAATTAGTTGATAAAACCAAACAAGAAAGTATGAAAATGAATACTACTAATAAAATATTCTAAACACAATCTTATATTTTTATTTACTAGCAGTATTTTTTTTGTATATGCAAAAAAAGCTTTTCATTTTATCTGCCATATTTTGCAATAATATTCAGTAATGTAGGTGACACAATATTCAATAATGTAGGTGACACAATATTCAATAATGTAGGTGACACAATATTCAGTAATGTAGGTGACACAATATTCAGTAACGTAGGTGACACGATGTTCAGTAACATAGGTGACACGATGTTCAATAACGTAGGTGACACAATATTCAATAACGTGGGTGACACAATATTCAATAACGTGGGTGACACAATATTCAATAACGTGGGTGACACAATATTCAATAACGTGGGTGACACAATATTCAATAACGTGGGTGACACAATATTCAATAACGTGGGTGACACGGTGTTCAGTAACGTGGGTGACATGATGTTCAGTAATGTAGGTGACACGATGTTCAGTAATGTAGGTGACACGATGTTCAGTAATGTAGGTGACACGATGTTCAGTGATGTAGGTGACACGATGTTCAGTAACGTAGGTGACACGATGTTCAGTAACGTAGGTGACACGATGTTCAGTAACGTAGGTGACACGATGTTCAGTAACGTAGGTGACACGAAGCTCAGTAACGTCGGTGACACGATATTCAGTAATGTAGGTGACGCGATGTTCAGTAAGGTAGGTGACACAACCTTTCAAGTTGTTTCTTATTTTATAGTCACTCTAAATAGGTGTTTCATTACATATGTTTTATGTAGTTTTGTTACAAGAGTTGCTATAATTCAGACCATCTGTAATAATAAAGTATCAGACTTTACTCACATTGTATAGTTTTACAGAATAGGTTTAATGGAGATTTCATGCAAATCTACTTGTATTAACACTATTTTTAAATTGTTGATGTTTCTAGTATTTTCTTTTTAAGCCAAAAATATGAGTCATTGTGTTGATAAACATTTAATGAATTCTACATTCTTTAGTTTATATTCTGCCACGATTCTTTTAATCATTCTTACACACGTAACTATGCTTCTTTTTAAATTTTACTTTAGATATTGTATTATGTAATTGCCGAGTGTTGAATTATGACTGACGTACGTAGTTATGAAAAGTGGGTATACCAATGTATACGTAACTATGCTTGTTTTTAAATTTTACTTTAACACTAGATATTGTATTATATAATTGCCGAGTGTTAAATTAGGACTGATGTACGTAGTTATGAAAAGTGGGTATACCATTTGACTGTAAAGATTAACTAGCATAATTACACAGGCCTGCTAATTTGAACTTCATAAAAGGTGTTTTCGTTTTAATAATGTATTTTCTATAATTCAGCTACACAGATTTCGAAAATAATATTAATTTTTTTCTATCACGTAAGTTTTTTTTTTACAAATCGGGAAGAAAAAAAACTCTTACTTAGATCAAATTATTATTTCATTTACCACAATGAACATGTTTT